TTTGTCTCTCCCTGTCTGCCGCTAACACGCCTGTTCACTCTCCTCTCCGTCTTCTCTCCCTGTATCGCTAATTATTCTCTTCACTCACTTTCCTCTCCGCTTCTCTCTGCCGCGCTCTCATCTCTTCTGTGTTTCTCTTCCTGTATCGCTCACTTGTCTCTTTCGCCCCCTGTCGGCGGCAGTTAAAATAGAATCGCCCCGTGAAAATTGAAATCCCCTATTAATGTATTGATTATAAGTCCGGGTCCGTATAGGTCGGCGTCTGAGTCCGGATCCGGACCGCGGTCCGCCTGTTGCCGACCCCTGACATAGAGCATAGAGGAACATTAAAGGGGACCTATCATGCAAAATGCACTTTGTGATGTCTTTTATACATAAATATGTGTCCCCGGTGTGTCGGGGAACTCACCTAGCGTCAGAAAATAAAACCCTCTCTCTTTTCCTACAAACCCAAATCTTTTAAAAACGGGGGTACAACAAGCGGATACAGATTTGCTGCCGATCTGACGTCAAATCGGCAGCGGACCCACAGAAAGTTGCTATCAGAAACAATGCCTGACGTGTTTTGGACGTCATCTCGTCTTTGTTTACATTAGCAAGCCTCGCTAACACTCAGAGCTAACCTGTACTAAAGAGCACATGTGTTTAAAAAGCAGGAAATAAAAAAGGAATTCACTTTGTGATAAACCCGCAAGAGAAAAACAGGGCTGCAAAAGAGGGGTATGAGCAGTATGAGGCATGGCTACAATGGGTGAACTGTTTGGTATTTTAAGCAAAAAACTTCACAGAAATGTTTTGTATGGCCCTCCAATATATTTTTCCAATATAGCATAATATGTCCACTTTAAGTATGAACCAGCTGCACTCTCACATGCTTTAATATTGGCATTCAAAAAATCATGAAATATATTTCTACATACTGTACTTTTCATGGCTCGTTTTTGTTGATTTTCTATAAACTGTTGAACCCCATCACCATATCCCCTCTAATGGCTCATCATAGACTTCCTCTTCCTCTTCTTGGTCAAATTGAGGTTAGATGAAGTGTGTCCATTACACATTACCAGGAAGCATGCATGGAGATGATGTTAAGTGTAGCTGAGGAATTGTCAACTAAACAATACACTTTGGTTGACGTCCAAGAAATAAAAGCACTATCAAAATATAATAAACAACTTGAATCAATGTAATAAAATGTGGTCTGACAATTATTGTTTCCTGCATGGCCATTTAACCCACAAATAAAACATTTCCTGGTTAAATGTAAAGTCAACTCTCTTGTTATTCCAACCAAAAGATAAGCATGATGTCATACACACACTCATTCACAAAAAGGAGAAAGTCCATTATCAACTAGATTACATAAAGTACATTTGTATCAATATGTATGTTATGGTTTAGGTGTTTTGCTTTCTCCTCCTCCCCTCTGTCTTCTCTCTCTCTCCTGTGCAGTGTGGTGATCGTTAGAAGGCTCAGCAGGTTCACAATGAGGAGCACCTGTACTCATCTAATCAACTCCTCCATAAAACCCTGGTCATGTTCACACTCCAGTGCCAGATAATTCCGTCTCACTCGGTAGAGCTGAACATCGTAGTATCCTAGCTTAGTGTGATTTTCTCTTGCTGTTTTTGTTGAAGAGTAACCTTGTTTTTTCCTCTGTTTTTCCAGTGTCTGCTCGAGCCAGCCTGAGTCCTGCCGCCGCCACCGGTGTGAACTAGATCCACCTTCATTTTGTGCATTGTTTTTTAGTTGCTCCTTTTTTCCTTTATTAAACTTTGTTAAAAGACTGACTCCATCTGGTCTCTGCCATTGTAGGTCCTGAACTTTTGACCCAGCCTTAACAATGTATTTAATAAGGAATACTACAGAACTTGAATTGGCCATTAAAATATGGCTGATAGTATTCGCCGCATGTTAAACCTTAACTAATATTGAGTGAATTACAAGATAACATGTTACTTTTTCAATTTTTCAACTCTTTTTTTGTTATGTTGGAAACTAGCCTTCAGCTAAAACAATACCTTTCAGGCTTAGTTGTGATGTATTGTTTGCAAGATGGATGACGTAACCTTGGCACAGTAACCAGCAATGTGTGTCATTTTGGTTGCAGGGAGAGGATATTCATAAACAATTGGTGGTTGTTTTGGGGAAATTGGAGTAATAAATGGGACATTTGGTAGGGGGCGACTACTGAAAGAGATGACTTTTCAATAAGGTTTTGTCAACGAAAAAATTAGTTATTAAAATGATTGTCGCAAATATAAATTGGATTTTGTTTACTATAACCATTCAAAGAAATATTAATTGATTTGAAGAAGTAACTGACACTGCTTAAAATTTCAACGAGTACCTTCACATTAAAACATCATCATTGCAATATACTGTCCAAATACAAACGTTTAAGTTGTGATAGTCTTGTTCTACTTTCTACTTTTCCTTTACCTTCAATTGGTATTCAGAATCATTCACAATTCTACAACACCACCGTTGAGCTTTTTTCAGCTTTGCCATGAGCAGAGTTGCAGAAACTCCAGATCTGCATTAAATGCAGATCTAACCATCCATCTGAGGCGAGAGGCGCACTGCCTTTGCACAATCAGCATTTTCGTTTACGGCCATCAAGCACTGGAATACTCTTCCAGTTGAATTTAAAACCTGTACTGATTTTAACTCGTTTTCTTATTGTGCAAAAAAAACGATATTAAGCAAGCAGTCATGCCAACATTAATTACACTGTAATCTGAGTTTTTTTTATTTGAACTGTATTGTCATACTATATCTTAGATATTTTATTTATGTGTATTTGAAGTGTACTAAGTATTATGTTCGTAACCTGTATTTAAATCAGGCTTTATAATTATTTGAGTGACCAAAATCATGTAAGTGTATTTCAAGTGTACTATGTATTAATTTATTGAGCTGTACTTAATCAGGTTTTAAAATGGTTTGACTGATAGAGATCATGCAATGTTATTATTTGTTTATTGATTGTTATGAACCTGCCTGAGGACAGATGGAAATGAGCTATTAGCTATAATCTGGCATATTGCATCTCTTCTCTTTGCTGAGATTAATGTATGTATATGCATGGTCCTTCTAGAAATAAATACATACATAAAATATATTTTACCATCTCATTTATTCATTCATAATGTTTTCTGATTCGGATACATCTTTAATATATACATATACAATGTAGATTTATCTCCTACAAGTTGTTTTTGGACAATTTTTTTTTCCTTTCCAACACGTGTTCTTCATAGACTGTATATATAAATGGACGTAGTGTCCGTGACGTCACCCATAGAATTCTGCAGAGTTGCCGAGAAGCCCTTACTAGGTGGAGTCGGCCACTAACGGCTCGACAGTGACGTCAGAGTCTAACTCCCGCCTGCTCCAAATAAGGGCAAAGAGGCAGTGTTGCCAACTTGGCGATTTTCTCGTTAAATTTGGCGGCTTTCCAAACCCTCCGGCTACTTATTTGTGTCAAAAGAGACTAACGACTAATCTAACGATTTATAATGGTGTTATTAGGGACTTTTCTGGTGTTTGGAGACTCACGTATTGTTCTGCAGTTAACGAGCCGCGGGTGCTGCCGTGAGCCCCGCCTCCCTCCCATAGTACTCACAGGCGCTCAGACTGACAGTTGCCTGGCCGCAGCAGAGCTGCTGCTGCAGTCAGAGCAGAGAGGAGACAACCACACTCCCCCGCGTCGAGACTGAAATTAATTGCGCATGCGCCAACTGCCAAGCCGTCCTGGTTTTGAGCGGGATTTAAATGTAAAATGTTTCTTCACTCACTTTCAAACTATAATAAATAACTGCCTTTGCTTTGCCTCACACAGCCTCAGTCACTCAATCACCTCGTCCACTGTGTGTGTGCCTCTCTGTGACAAGCTAAACATCATGGCACAGTCTAAATTGTATTCTCAAAAATACAGAAAGGAGTGGGAATCAAACCCTGAGTATAAAGGATGGTTGAAGCCATTTATTGGAGATGACACACGGGCATACTGCCTTTATTGTAAGGGGGATTTCTATGCCAAACTGTCTGACATCAAGAAGCATGTTAAAACCCAAAAACATACTCAAAAGGCAAAGACATTTCTGATCTACTGTCATCTGGATTTAACTCCGGTGGTTTCAAGTTTTGATCCTTGAAGGGTTGGGAACGTTTTTTGTACTCCCCTCTACCATACGGTCGGCAAGCGAGGGAACGCCCACAAAACGTCACATCCGGTTCGCGCTGAGGGGGAAAACAAACCGGCTTCCACAATGCCCAGGAGCTGCAGTGTGCCCTTTTGTACAACTAACAAGCTTAAAAATCCAAATCTAAAATTTTATATTTTGCCCAACGGGAGCACAGAGCCCAGGAGAAGAACCCGGTGGCTTCAAGCGATCCGTCGGGAGGATGAGTTTGGCCACCTGTGGGATCCAAAATCCAAACATGTGTACGTCTGTAGTCAGCACTTCATTACAGGTATGACAACGTTATTCACACAATAACAGTGTTAAATTGTTTCGTAGTTAACATGAATGTTCAATTACTAGTTTTAAGAGAAGTTAACTAACTACTACGTTATGCAGGCTACCTTGCTTGAGTATACAAAAACACAGCTATGCTAACAACACTGGTGGTAGCTTCCGAGCTTTCTGCAGTTAAAATGTATTTCACCCCCATCTATCCCCTTCTCATTTCGTTTGTGAACTGTCTTGCCCTAGGCTTAAACAACGAGGACATAGCCCACCCAGACTACACACCCTCGCTGTTCCCACATAAAAAGACAAAGTCTCCCAGGTCAGTACTTCAGAGGCTGGAGAGAAGGAGGAAGCGTGAGGGTGTTCAGTCTGCCCAACCAGAACCCCCAACATCAGAGGGCCCAGCACCAGAATCCCCAACATCAGAAGCTCCCATACCTCTTCAGGAGTTAGAGAGAAAACAACTTTATGAAGAATTGTATAATTTAAGAAGAGAAAGAGATGAGGCGATGAAGGAGCGAGCTGAAGCCATCAGATAGTTGGAGACGTTGAAAATGTCGGTAAACACTGTGAGAGAAAATGACACTAAATGTAAAGTCATGACAGGCCTGTCATGGACAGTATTTGACACTCTTCATCAGTACCTGGTACAGTTTGTTAAGTCACAGAAAACATCCAAGATGTCAACACAAGACCAGCTCTTTATTACTCTGGTGAAACTGCGGCAGAACCACTCAACCGATATGATGTGTGGAATATTTGACCTGGCACATAGATATAGCACTTTCCTGGATGTATTCTCCCGATGGTTGGATTTGATGTACGCCAACATTTCTTTTTTGATTAAATGGCCTGATAGAGAGTGTATCAGAAGCACAGTACCAGCAGAGGTTCTCTTCCAGTACCCTAGAGTGACTGCAATTATCGACTGCTTTGAGATCAGAATTGAACACTCAAAGAAGCTGAAAACAAGGTGAGATATTTTTCTTTTTGATAAAGTGTCGGGTTTTTGTAATACTTACCTGGCTCAGGCTGGCTGTCTGTGTATATGTACATCATTTATAGATAAGTATTACTAACGACTGTCTCTTCTCACAGAGCTATCACCTACTCAAAATACAAAAACTGGATAACAGTGAAGTATTTCATTGCATGTCACCCATCTGGCTCATTCACATATCTCTCCAAAGGCTGGGGAGGGAGGGCTTCAGATGTGCATATTGTAAGGAACTCAGACTTCTTATCTCAGAAGTTCCACCATGCAGGAGATCAGGTAACAATTGTCAATTTATTATTTACCCATAGTTACCATTTTTGAGTTGCTGTTGAAGTAAAGTAGTGTTTTTAAGTATTTGTTATGTTTATTTCAGATTTTAGCCGACAGGGGCTTCACTTTGAAGGATGACTTTGCTGTTCTGGGTGCACAGCTCATCACACCGTCTTTCACGAGGGGCCGAAAACAACTGTCAGCCGAAGATGTTGCAAATTCTCGTGTGACTTCGAACATCAGAATTCACATATAGAGTCAGCAGTCAGATTCATATAGTATGTACATTTGAATGTTTTTGGTATTCAGAGTGTGCTGCATCATCACTGTTGCTACTTGCCGGCAATTAATTACTGTAACAGTACAGATCCGGGTTAACAAGTGCTGAGACGTTATTCAATTAATCACATCAACGAGTACATGTGTAATCCCTACTTTGTAGGGTGTCTTAAGATAACATTTTATCTTAAAAACATGTTATTCTATATTTAAATACATTGAACTGTTGTTCACATTTAGTGCAATATCAAGAGAACAGGATAACAGGAAGTTAACAGGGATCTTTCTTCACTTTAACATGAAAAAGAAACACTAATTATAGGACACAATGCACTGACGATATGATATAACGGTCAACTGTGCTACTCCTGTGAAACTCAAACATAACAATGTAGATAAACAGCATTTTAACAACAAATATGTGATCTGTGGTCTGCAGAGAGTCATTGGTGCCCTGAAGAGCCAGTACCACATTCTGGATGGCCCACTTCCTCTGCGCCTGGTGAAGAGACTGCAGGATGAGAGACAGAAGAGAGAAGAGGCCATGATTGATAGGATTGTGCATGTCTGTGCAGCACTAATGAACCTGTTTGGCAAGGCAAGGCAAGTTTATTTATATAGCACTTTCCAACACAAGGCAATTCAAAGTGCTTTACAAAAAATGAAAGAGATTAAGAAAATGGCATTTAAAATCAGTCAGTCAGTGTCATGTACAACCGTTACAGAATCTGAGAGTAAGAACAAAATCAATGTGCAGTAATTTAATAATGAGCATCAGAGAACAATATTTGATGCAACTTTTTTATACAACAAAGAAGTCATTATTGTTCCAATTGTGCCATTTAACAGGTTTCAGTTGAGACATAATGGATCTTTCTAATCAAAACCACCTGTTGTTTGTCTTTCCACAGGTCCCTGAACTGATCTCCGTGCTGCTCTGCTGCTGCACACCCTGTCACCCTGCCTCTGATGCCTGACGCTCTGCCTCTGATGCCTGACGCTCTGCCTCTGTCGCCTGACGCTCTGCCTCTGATGCCTGACGCTCTGCCTCTGTCGCCTGACGCTCTGCCTCTGTCGCCTGTCACCCTGCCTCTGATGCCTGTCACCCTGCCTCTGTTGCCTGACGCTCTGCCTCTGTCGCCTGTCACCCTGCCTCTGATGCCTGACGCTCTGCCTCTGATGCCTGACGCTCTGCCTCTGTCGCCTGACGCTCTGCCTCTGATGCCTGACGCTCTGCCTCTGATGCCTGACGCTCTGCCTCTGATGCCTGACGCTCTGCCTCTGATGCCTGACGCTCTGCCTCTGATGCCTGATGTTCTGCCTCTGTCGCCTGACGTTCCTGACGCTCTGCCTCTGTCGCCTGACGCTCCTGCCTCTGATGCCTGACGCTCTGCCTCTGTCGCCTGACGCCCTGCCCTCTGATGCCTGACGCTCTGCCTCTGATGCCTGACGCTCTGCCTCTGTCCGCCTGACGCCCTGCCTCTGATGCCTGACGCTCTGCCTCTGTCGCCTGAACGCTCTGCCTCTGTCGCCTGACGCTCTGCCTCTGATGCCTGACGCTCTGCCTCTGTCGCCTGACGCTCTGCCTCTGATGCCTGACGCTCTGCCTCTGTCGCCTGACGCTCTGCCTCTGATGCCTGACGCTCTGCCTCTGTTGCCTGACGCTCTGCCTCTGATGCCTGACGCTCTGCCGTCTGTTGCCTGAACGCTCTGCCTCTGATGCCTGACGCTCTGCCCTCTGATGCCTGAACGCTCTGCCTCTGTTGCCTGACGCTCTGCCTCTGATGCCTGACGCTCTGCCTCTGATGCCTGACGCTCTGCCTCTGTTGCCTGACGCTCTGCCTCTGATGCCTGACGCTCTGCCTCTGATGCCTGACGCTCTGCCTCTGATGCCTGACGCTCTGCCTCTGATGCCTGACGCTCTGCCTCTGTCTGATGTTCTGCTGCCACTTGTGTTGCCTGATGGGTCACTCCCTGTGCTGCTTTCGACTGGACTGTGTTCTGCCTACTTAGCAGAAACATATACAGTGCTTATCATAAATGAGTACACCCACTTTGAAAATAACACAAGAACAATTTGATCAACAATATCAACAATTATTATCTGATTAGTATCAAAGTCACAAGTATAGACAATATTGTACAGCCCATTATTCATTCTATTTGTAGCCTATGTATGTTTTCATGTTGTAAATAAATGTATAGGCTTTGTGATATTTGATTTTGTACATATAGTCTAGTAGTCTATGTTGATACTGAATTAAATAGCTATAATATGCTTCAAAGTGAATTGGTATAAATAAATATGTAACTCTGTCACAGTGACTTATTTGTTGCCATTTTTACACTGATAGGAAATTCAACCACCTACCTGTGCATCTTTCAGCTCCCGAAGTTTGTGTAGTATGTGTTGTGACCAAAATGTTTGCATCACATTAATGGCACCACTGATGAAGTCCTCATCTCTTTGTACTCTGAATATCAGGCAGGTCTGAGGAGTCCAAGTGATGAAGTCTGCATACATCCGTTTGGTAACAAACATCTGCATTTGGACCTATCAAATGCAATGCAATCATCATAACACTAATATGTACATTATAGACAGTATGCCATCTGTGGATAATTATCTTGGATAATTGCACAAAATGCTCCAGACTTATTAGAGGTGTGCAGGTATATGCAGGTGAAATATTGAAATACCTGAGTGAAATATGCATGACTTCTCTTTAAGCTTGTCAGACTTTCCAGATGTACTCTTTTGTCCTCAAGCCACTGTTGGTACCCATAGAGGTGTCTTGCCCCCACCTGTAAGGACACTTATGGCGCATTTCCACTGCAGCGGGTAGCCCCGTTTAAGCGTCCTCAAGCGGCCAGGCCAGTTTTTGGTGGCCTTTCCATATAGCCTAGTACCGGCTAGCGGGACTTTTTCCGGCCCCATATGGCGCGTTTACACTGCAGCGGGTAGCCCCGTTTAAGCGTCCTTCTGAGTTCCTGTAAATTCATTCAAAAGTCATTTGAGTCTCAATTCTTTATGAGCTCTTTCAACATACAAATCTAAAGTGACCATGAACCAATATTCTATATTGAAAGAGGACCATAACCTTATTAAGTATATGCTCTTTATTAGCTGGCGTTTCAATGATTCATCCCTCCCTGTCCACAGTGCTCGGTTTACCGTAAGTGGTTCCTGTGTTGTCTTTGTATCAGATGTTCTTGGACTTGAACTCAATTGCTGAATAGTTTCTCTCTTCCTGGAAAGATGTGTGCCTCTGGCCTGCTTCCACCTCCCGCAGGAGAGCTGAAAGATGTACAGGGAGAGCCAGGTTAGACTGCGAGCCATCTGGAGGAGCCGATTGGTTCAGAATGTAAAGACTCTTCTGGACATTAAAGACTGCGTATGTGCAGCCATAATGAGCCCCGGCTTTGGCTTAAATGCCCTTGTACTGTAGATGTAAACAGTTAGAAAAATGGGTATAAAAATACTTGGAAAAGGCAACTTCATAGACATGAGAAATATGGTATTGATGCTATATGTGAATCCTCTCCAAACAAGGTCTTCAAGCTGTAAACTGCTCATTATCCACACAGCAATGCATTATTCTGGGGACAGACACAGAGCAGAAGTCCCGCTGAGTCTCTGTTGGCAGCGATGGGGATTTTATAGTTGGTGGACTCTCCGTTTATAGCATGGAGCAGAAAACATAAAACCCTGTTGTAAAAAGCTCCCTGGTATGTGCGACAGAGATAAAAATGTAATAATTCTAACTCTATCATTCTTTCTTTTGTAGGGCGTAGGGCACAAAGGTAAATATTCTTACAATTTTCTCTTACAATAAAAGTGATTTTAGTGCATTAGTTAGTTTTCTACAATGTTCCCACTAAACCTCTCCTCCAAAAAGAGGTTCTTGGGGTAAAGTGGTAGTCTCAGGAGTGGACCCACTGTTGCTATGCAACCACTGAAAACCCAGTTGAAGCATGGCACCTACTTAAGTTTGAGTACTATATATATATATTTCTTTCTTTTAGCACCCCTGTGTTGAGTTTTTAAACGCGCTCGGCATTGTTGGAGAACTTGCAAAAGAACATTTCTTTCCATTGAAAAATAGATGCATTAATGCAGAGAGAGAGGCTTTTATTAACTCTCCTTTCTTTGTATTCAATTTGTTTTATTTCATGTGTTGTTTGCGACATCGTAAGTTGCATGCAAACATTTAATGCTGCATTGGAAGACCCCAGAGGCCTCGATTTGTACTACACCCAACAATATGAACAAACAACAAACTGAATCCTTTCATAGAGAGCCTATTTGGGCTTAACATGTTCCTTCTTTATAAATTATGCATTTTCTTGGATTCTCCATTAGAAGTCTGATAGCCTACATGGAGCTTTTGTTTTAATGTATAATTTAAAGCATTTTCTTTTGTGAAGTGGTAATTATTGTATCTGATCTTATTCCTTGTTAGAAATCAGAGCAACCTTTTCTTCTACCACTGTTTTGACTGTGAGCAGAAATGTCTTCTGAGGATTAGAACGGGGGATAGCAGGGGACCTTATCCCTTATTCACACCAGCTATTTTTGATTTAGCTGCAGTTAAAACACATTTGGCTTCATTCTGCAGCATGGTAATGTTTTAAACTGTAAGAAAAACTACCCTTTATGTGGTTTTCTTGGCTTTTTCCGACATACTTTCAGGGCTTCATGGCATGTTGAGTGATTGACAGTAAAATAGCAGATACAAACGTGCTCTAATATTCACCTCTGGGCTATAACACGAAAAATCCCATCTACACACCACGACTGTGAAGTTTGTTCACATGCAACAAAACTAACAGGGGAAACATGCAGAGGTTTAACAACTCCTGTGTGAGTTTATAGGGCCTTGAGCTGTTGAATGTCTCCTACCCTTTTAATATTTAGTTTTGTTTATATTTATGTGCAGCAATGTTTGGCATATTTGATCACTGTATGGAGATGGCAGCGGGACAACAAATAGTTTTTTGTGTTCAGGATAGAGACATGATCCAACTGCTTTCAATAGAAATAGGAGACGGTTTGCTCATTTTATCCTGACAATGTTCAAGATGTAGAACTAGCTAGCATTTAAAGGTCCCATGACATGGCCATTTCTACTGATCATAATTCCATTGTTGAGGTCTAGAATAGATTTACATTGTTCAATGTTCCAAACTCACATTGGTTTCTCATACAGCATCTCTGTATAGTATGTGTATTCACTCTCTGTCCTAAACGGCTTGTTGGAGCTCCTGCCCCCCCCCCCCCTCCCTGTGAGCCCACTCTGTTCTGATGAGTCCACCACCGTTAGAGCGGAACATCAGTGATTATGTGTTACAATGGCGTTTTTTAGCAACCAGAAAAGGACACCAGTAATGACAAACAGATGGAGCGGACAGTGTGAGCTGGCTTACTGGTGTCGTTTCCTGGTTGCGAGACAGCGAGACACAGCTAAACCCAGCCGAACCCAGCCCAAGCACACACACACACACACCCGCAGCCTGGCTGTAAGTCTGTGTGTGTGCTCATGCCGAGCCCAGGCCGAGCCTCGCCGAGCCTCGCCGCGTCCCGCCGTCTCAGGCTGAGTTCAGGCTAAGAAATCCGCGGAGCTGCAGCTGAGAAAAGATTGTGTGTGTGTGTGTGTGTGTGTGTGTGGTGTGTGTGTGTGTGTGTGTGTGTGTGTGTGTGTGTGTGTGTGTGTGTGTGTGTGCGCGCGCACGCGCGCGAGGAGCCGTTACGTCACTATACCCAATACGTCACTATACCCAAGAAGAAACAAAATGTAAAAAGACAAATCTCCAACGAGGTTTATCGGGATGTTAAGAGCATTCCATGGAATATAACAAAAAGTGTATCTCGAGCCGGTTTCTCAAACTTACCTACCCCACCTTTAAAGACAAGTTGGTGCTAGAAGATTTGCGTGGTGACGTATTATTTCTCTATTATTTATTACTAAACCTGCCAAATGTTAAGACTTTTTCCAGGGGAGCTCACATTCATGCAATTCTCTCCTCTGTCAAAATTGACTGAAAAGCATGACATGTCTTTTTTGTGGAGCAGTTTTTAGTTCCAGCAGAGAACAGTTCTACAAAATGGGATGGTATGATAACTCCTTCCATGTTAGAACTCTCCGTGTCTCTTTGTGTATGTAAAGTTCATCACTGAAAAATCATTTTGTTCTTGGTCAGTTTCATTCCTTATTAAAGTTCACTCAAGTTGAGCTCCAGGCGAAAGCACAGCGCACATTTCATTTGACTCAATCAATGGCAGTGATTCCATTGAAATTAATTGATTTGGGTCTCAAATGTTACAGTACTCAACTCTGGTTTGAATCTGCCCTTGTCTCTATCAATTGCCGAAGAACAATGCGAGCTGTACAAATCAGCGTAGACTTCCCAGCTGGATAGGGGTGCCGTCTGGAATGGGTAACTTTGCTTCGATCAGAACCCGCAATGACAACTGTGTGGGATTTATTCTCTGTGACAGTGACTTTCTCATCTCGCGCCACTTACTGTGCTTCAGAGAGAGGGAGGCAAATGAAGCGTCTCTTTCTGTCTGTGCTTCCATATTGCAGTGACCCTTTTCAACAGGGCCCCTATGTGTCTCGCTCTTCAGTGGGAGCAAGACAGTCCACAGAGCTTTACAATCCCACTGCACCCCCACAGCGACACATGGTTGGAGGTCTTTGCTCTTCTCTCCCAAGACCCGACACAGAGGAGAGGATTTTCTCTCCAATTCAGCTTCTAACCTCCTCCCTTATGGGTCGTCTTCCACATTACTCCCTCCAACCGTGCTGGAACGGAGGTCTCTCTCCTGAGGAACAATTCCATTACTGATCCTCCCCAGTAGGTGCACATGTGGATTTATTCCCTGTCCTTTGTGCGCACCCAAGAATTCAGGAATCCTGTCCTTTCTTGTATTCCATAATGGTAATGCCAATGTTTAAACAAGCCCCCAATAAGTAGCTTGCAGAATTTCTACTGAACTAGATGCAGTTTGTAAATGAACGATACCTTGTACTTTATCCAGTCTTTACAACCTCAAAGTGCTTAACATTTACAACTCATCATTCACCCATTCACCCCACTCCTCAGGGAAACGTTGACGTTGGGCACAAGTGATTGGTTGCTGACTGAGCATGAGCCCGTGGTGGATGACGCTGCACTGTTTAACAACCTTTTTCTATCAGACAGGGGCTGAGCTCAACATCATTGTGTATTCGAGTCCAGCTTGGAGTGCATTGCATCTCTTATGGCCTTCGCCTCTGGTTACATCTAACAGAGAAATCCATCAGACGGTAGAGCAGCATGTATGTATGAAAGTTTAAAGGGCATGAAACCACCTGATTGAGCAGTCAGTGCATGCTTCTTTCTCAGGTTTCTGAGCAGGGCCCTATTATTGATGTCTCTTACTGTGCATTGCACATACTCATAAACTGAAGCTACATCAAGAAAACTTCTATTTCATGATTAAAGAGCGCTAAAGAAAAATGTAGTTTTCACTTTAATTTGACTTTGGGTGAAATAACTCTGATTTATGAAATGTGTTCAGGACTCCTGCCACATAACAGCAGTTAAATACATATGTCTTTATAAAATGCAAAGTTTCTTAAGCCTAAAACAATGTTTAAAAAACGATCATTAGAATTTGGACATACACATTATATTTGATGTAGTTTCAGAAAGGTTTTTTCTGCCCCTTTACATTGGCACACACCAGGCAGTTGCCCACAATG